GAACTAAACAAAAGTTTAAAGTGAGATTACGTGACAACTTAACAATTGTGATTTTTTGATAATTCGTTGTGCAATTATAATAAAAATTTAATTACTCTTTTTAACTGTTAGGGATCAACTTTAGGTAGATGAATAATCATGCAAAATTTTTCTACATTTTTATGTATTGTACTACTTATTTATATTTAAAATTTATGCATTACAATATTATGAAAGGCAATTTATGGAGAAAATAGCAAGTCTTGCACTGCCCGACCCAATCTTCACTTGACTACTTTTTTATTCTCATATAGGAGTGACAAAAGGGCCACGTAGCTTGTCGGCTTGGCTCGTCAAAACTCGACTCATGAACGGCTAGGGCTCCTTTCAGGACGAGCATAAGCCCAAGTCGAGCCAAGGGTTTGCTCGGCTCATCGAGCAACGCTCAGCTCGTTGAGCTCGCGAACGTCTCGTGGGCCATGCTCACGAGTCTAAAGTTCATGAGCCCACAAGTTCAGCTCGTGGGCTCCTAAAAAATTTGAAGAAAAACACGAGCTTGTGGGCTCAGCCTCGACCCTTGCACACGAGAGCTCGTGCTTGAACAAGCTTGTGACGAGCGAAGCTCAAAGGTAGATGGGCCGAACCGAGCCATTGCCACTATTCTCATTGCGAGTTCAAATTTTTGTGTGGGAGGGTAACATTAGCAATTGACATTATTCAAAATTTAAAAAATATATATATATTTATTATAAAGCCAAATGCTATCTCCGTACAATTTTTACATGGTATACGTAATACAATACCGAAACATGTTAGACAAGCCAATAAAATTTCTGAATTATGTTTACATAAAATGAATAAAATGCAAATTGGAAGAGCCAAGGTCTCAAGCGTGTGATGAGGAATTCTGTCTTCTTCGGGTGGCAATTTCTTCAAGTATGATTATAAGAGAAACAACCATGGCATAATCAATGTTTGGAGACACTCTCACCATGAACTTATCCTTTCCCAGGAAGATACTTCCTGCTGTCAATTTTTTATCCATCTGTCCCAATAAAAGTAAAAATAGTTAAAATTTCATAAATGCTTTTCTCTCAAAGTCCTTTTGAGTTAATATTTGAATGACCTCCTCTAAAAAGTTACAAGTTCAGAGATAATATACATTTCGACAAGTCCCTTCACTTGTAACTCGAATTCGTTTTCTATGAAAAAGGCTTTACACATAGTTTTTACAAATGAAACTTGAACTCAGAAACTCGTGTATGATAACATGTTAAATCAAATCAATTTAAAGTTTATAATGTCAGAGAAGAGATACCCTTATCTATTTTAATTTTAGTCATCAACGCGCCAATCACGTGCAGCATGAATGACTCGTGAATAATTTTTATAAACAAGTAATGATAAGGCTAGAGCTGAATCTCTACTCGTATAATCTTCAATACATTCCTTATGTACAGCTGGATTTTTCGTTGAAATTTATTAAAATCTTAATTGGAGACATCTAAATTTTAATGAAATTTCAACTGGGGTTTAGAAAAAATTTATAAAATCTTGTTGACAATATGGAACGCATTTAGAATTTATTCAAATTTAGTTTTCTTTATTCTCTAACATATAAAAGGAGACGAGAGGAGAGAATTTGATGGATGATACCTGAGCAATTGGAGTGGATGAATTTCCAGCATATATGTCACAAGATCTCTCATAGGAGCTCCCTTTGAGCTTAAAGTCACAGTATTCCTCTGATGTGTTGTTTGCCAAGAAAACATCTAATTTAGTGTGGATTTGGAACATTGAAGATCTCTTCACGCTGAAGATCAAATCTTTTTTATCTGTGCTTTCTCCACTAAACACTTCCCATCTGCTATGATACGACAATTTCTGCATATTTTCAACAATACACGCGCATCAAAACTTTTATGTTTCAGTTTCAATTTTTCGTCCGCAACAATGATCTCAGCAGAATAGGTTATAATCGAAGTTAGTTATGTTGTAGTTTTTAAGGATATAATTAACAGGTATGTTCCAACACGGAATGACGGACAACCTTCAAACTTTCTTCATTCCTAAGAATACAAGAAACTAGACGACAAAATTAACGAACCTTGGGTCGTAAAGTGATAACCGGAGTTCCAGCACCGTCGAGGACGACCAGAGTGCCATGAAAGCTTAAAGGGAACTTCTCAACTTTAAAGACGAGATTGCCATCAGTTGATGTAACTGTATATCTGGTAGTACTAAGGGTAAAAACCTTTTTGTCTATCAAAAGATTAACTGGATGAGAAGCACGAAACTGGGGGCTGATTACAGGGCCACTATTAGCCAAATTTGAACAGTATGGTATTTCTGCCATATCCAATCTTTGAGATGATCATCATATATTCATTTGTGTATTTATAAACAGAAAGTGAGTCAAAGACGTGCTTTTAGGTCAATTTAGGATGGAAGAGGTAAAGACGGTGAAGAAAATAATTTTTATTTTCACTGACCTGATCATCAACGCCTGTCCTTAGATACTTCGATAATATAAGGTTGAATATTAATACATTTTGGTTGCGTAATTTAATGGAACACTCCCTATTTTCTTATTGGTCACTGCTTTCTATTTGACATTTCCAACAAGAAGAGTTCAATATTTGAACTTCAGACGTGGGACATAACAAATTGTGGCAGATAGTATAGATATTAAGGAAGAAATACAAATCTTAGTCATAAATGTCCAACACTACATACCATGTTTGGCTTGTACGAGTTCATGATAAAATTTTAAAAATCATTTGCATACATCACGAACCACCCTTACTTGATCAAGTTCTGACTCATTTGATTTGATCTTAAGAAAAGATCTCTTTCGTGATCATTTTCAAGTGGGATATAATGAAGTACTTCAATTGACGTCAAAAGCACAATAACAGAATTGAGAACGCTTATAAATGATCACAAGGATGGCACTTTGTTGGTATTATACCGGCCCCTAAACACAAAGTAATGTAGAAAACTGAAAAGAACACAAATGATTTTTCGTCCTAAGGTCCGGATGTTCATCCAAATTAGGGTTAATCACCCGTTGAGCATTCATTGAAGTGATTAACGCTTCAATCCACTAGAAACCAACAATATTATCAAGATCAATGTTACAGTACAACAGATCCACAAAGGAAAAACCCTCAGACCCAATAATCTCTCACATAAACTCTCTGAAATACGATTACACAAAGTAATCCAAATGTTACTGTCCACATAAGAACAGAAATACAGAACCAAACTTTAATCAAACACTAGATCTCACCAAAAATCATCTAGGACCCAAGATTACAGGCAAAAACCAAATATTTTCAGAGAGAGCAAAAGTAGAGAGAACCCTGGAATAATCTCGAAAGAAGTGAGACGAATGAGAGAGTCAAGCCAAAATATCAAAGGCAGAAGCATCCAACAGACACAGCTCATCCATGTATTACAATCTCAGCCTTTGAGATAAGTGTAATGGGGCTGCCGGGTTGCATTCTAAATGGGCTGGATATCTCACAATAATAAGGGTTGCATCACAGGGCCAGACATTAGGTAAAAGAATTGGGCTGCCGCATTGGGCCCAAATTGGTTAAGCACCAAACTTAACACACATAAAAACTCCATTCTCACTATATATTGCCCTCAACCCACCTACAATTGATTTTTAGCATGAACAAAGTTGGTAATAAGAAGTGTCAGAGAAGAATAGCATGCAAATTCATCCGAGAATGATAAATTCCACATTACACCCTGACCCTGTAATGAAAAATATTTGTATATGACGGGTAAAAACCTGAATGGCCACAATTTATATTCAATAGTCCCTTAACTTCGAGTAATGTGAAATTCATATTTTTTGGACTAACAGAGTTCACAATTTAAATTAAGGGACTATTGAAGTTTGTGGTCGTTTTTCAGTGTATAGTTTTTGGGGACTATTCAGGGTTCTTAACCTATAATCAAATATGCATATCATGTATTAACCGAGTACTTCAACTCTGGCTCCAAATACTGACATATACTGTGACCAGTTGAGTTCAAAAACTAGAAGCCGGTGCGTCTCAAGACCTTTTTGCTTGACAACCAAAATACATTTTTACTAATCATAAAATCTACAACCAGATAGCTTAATACTAAACAAAGATCATCACAATGGTAACCTCATAATTTCCAGGCAAACTTGAAAAGAACAGAAAATATGAGATACTGCTAATTAACCGTGAAGTGCTTCCCAAGAGACAAGAAGAATTGATAGCCCTATTCATCTTCCCATTAGTTTATACCTTTGGACTGTGTATTTCAAATTTTTCCTAAGACGAAACCCCAAATTTTAACAAAGCCAACTAGCACCTATATAGCACAACAATGACATAAATGGGGAAATAGAATTAATGCAGATCTCAGATAGAAGAACTTCAAGGGATGCTACAAAGGAATCGAAAAGAAAACAGAGGAGAAAAACAAATCTCATACCACAGTACTCACTTTGCGAGTGCAAATGTGAACTCATCGCCTTGCCCCTGTTTCTTCTACTATGATCTGTACTTCAAAATCGAATGAGACCAATATTTTCACAATGCAAACTCAATTTGAGATCATGTACAAACTTAAGGACAAGGTATATTGTGAAAATATTGAGTTTCCATTGTGAAACTGCCTTTTATCCTTTTTTCACCCACTCCATCCTCTACACAAGTAAATCTAAACGCCCAATAAGCACATACTTATTATACTATACACAGAAAGAATCACAAAATTCAGAAGAGTAAGCAGGCATTGCTAGCATTAACTGCAGTATTCAAATAGGAAAAGATACGAATTGGGAGTTGCTGGATAGGTACCCAGCAAAGAGGATGAGAAAAAAATTACAGAGAGAAATGCTAAAGAGTTTCAAGTTCTACTTCTCTAGGTTACCTTCAGATCTACTGTCTCAACAAATCAAATTTGCAACAGCAAATCAAAAAACAAATTAAAGGCAGAAGTTATATTACAACAGGGAACAATCAGATAGGGGAAACATGAATAATCCAGTCAGCAACAAAGCAAAGCAACTGGACAACAAAATTTGGGCATTAAAAAGAACAAATCTAGACAACAGAGAAGCAGTATCAAATATAGGAAAGAACTGAAATATCATTCATGATTCAATTTGCCATCAGTTACACTACGTCCATTCCACAAACCTAACAAACTATTCTACACCCAAACAAAAACCCTACACATATCATCAAAATCAGAAAATTGAAACCTTAACATCAGTCCTAAAATTGACAATTTTTTTAAGAGCTGGTAAACTTGGTAACAGCCTTGGTACCCTCCGAAACAGCGTGCTTCGCCAATTCACCAGGAAGTACCAATCTCACAGCAGTCTGGATCTCCCGAGAAGTAATCGTGGGCTTTTTATTGTACCTGGCAAGCCTGGAGGCTTCCTGAGCCAATTTCTCAAAGATATCATTAATGAAACTGTTCATAATTCCCATGGCCTTGCTCGAGATCCCTATGTCAGGATGAACCTGCTTCAGCACCTTGAATATGTAGATCTTGTAAGTTTCTACACTCTTCTTCGTGCGCTTCTTCTTCTTGTCTCCGGCAGCTGCACCTTCCTTGGGGAGTTTCTTGCCGGCCTTTGGCTTCTTCTCCGCCGGAGCCTTCTCGGCGGCGGGCGCTTTCTCAGCGGCGGGTTTCTTCTCCGCTGGCTTCTTCTCTGCCTTTGGTGCCATTTTTAGTAATAAAGGAACGGCGTATGTGTATTTGGAGAGCTTTACGAGCGCACAGAACAAAGAAAAGCTATGGATTTGATTGTTAAACGAGGATGAAGGGGAGGAGAATTATATAGGAGGTTGTGATGGAGCCTGATTGGCCTAATAAGAACGACACGGATCGAGCATGCTACCCGTTCATTAGATTCGTTATCCTACGGTGTAGATTTTAGTTCGAAGATTGAATTAGAATAAAAAACTTTTCTGAAGGTTATGCTTTTGCTTTTGGCGGTTGTTTGAAAATAAAGCGCGTGGAATAAGCTATCGTGCACCGGATGCTCGTTCAAATTTTTTCTTTTTTCGAATTTCATCCATAGTCCTTTGAACTCGAGTCAATGATTCGGGGTTTCACTTTCATCACTGGAGCTGAATACAGTAGCGAAATCAGAAAATGATGTTACAATGAATTGAGGCCTCGTTTGGTAGAGATTAAAATTCAATTAAAATTAAAAATATAGTCGTTATTGTGTCCTATTAGTCTAATAAAAGTCAACAATAACGACTAATTTTTCAATTTTAATCCGATTTTAATCTCTATCGAACGGAAAACTTAAAAATTTCAAATGAATTGAAGCCACAAGAGATTGAGTTTGAAGGCTACTCATTGCTTTTGGCGGTTGTTTGAAAATGAAGCGCGTGGAATAAGTTATCGTGCACCGGATGCTCGTTCAAATTTTTTTCTTTTTTCGATCCATAGTCCTTTGAACTCGAGTCAATGATTCGGGGTTTCACTTTCATCACTGGAGCTGAATACAGTAGCGAAATCAGAAAATGATGTTAGAATGAATTGAGGCCTCGTTTGGTAGAGATTAAAATTCAATTAAAATTAAAAATATAGTCGTTATTGTGTCCCATTAGTCTAATAAAAGTCAACAATAACGACTAATTTTTCAATTTTAATCCGATTTTAATCTCTACCGAACGGAAAACTTAAAAATTTCAAATGAATTGAAGCCACAAGAGATTGAGTTTGAAGGCTACTCTCGCGACATTTACGATAAAAAGTATACGAAACTCAATGAAATTAAAAAATCTAAGCCCCTATTTGACATATATTATCTAAAAATACATTTTTTTCAAAACTCATTTTTAACCAATAAAATAATATTTTTTATCACATTAATAAATTTTCCTTACTTTTTAACCATATATTTCATATCATATCAATATTTAAAATACATTCTTTCTTAATAATGTCCATCAAACACACCATAAATGTCTCACCAAATCCTTGTATTTTTTTTATCAAATAGAAAATTGATGCTCACTTTAAAAAATATAAATTGATCGAATCATGAACAAAATAAGCAAAAGTACATATTCACCAATGAAAAATTAAAATATTACTTAATGAGTATTTTTCTAATAATTTTGACGATCAATCTTTCCAAACATTTGAAATTTTGATCGAAACACGCAATCAATAATGCATCACTATAGTCTATGAGGGTGTTTGGTGAAGATTAACCCTCTGTTTGGTACACATTAAATTTTTCATTCTCATTCTTCTACTCATTTTCAACCACACATTTTTTAATAAAATAATATTTTCTATCACATCAATAATTTTTCCTTCTTTCTCAACCATACATTCTCCATCAATCTACTATTCCAGAATACATTTTTCTAAAATAATGTGACTCAAACACACCCAAAATTAGATTTTTAGTGAATTGTGTGGTTGAAAAGATGTGGGACCCATGAAATATGTGATTAATATTGATTGTTTGATTTTGATTTAAATTAAAATCAGATTTTAATCTGGCCCAACCAGGCCCTATATGTTATTATCTCATAATGATATTTGATGTGTTCATCATTCTTCTGTATTACGCCGTTTAAAAGTGAGAGAAGAATTTCAACCAAAGTGATAAAATCAATTAAGACGGGTGTCTTCGATTGAAATTGTGACGAATTTTAAAAATCATTTTAAATTTAGGTTTACTCAATTGAGATTTTAATAAAATTCAATGAAGGCTTTTAAAATCCATCAAAATTTGAGTCAAGGACGCTCCCGAGAATTCCAAGGATCAACTAGTATTTTAATCCATGTCCATGTTTGACTTATTTCCAAGAATAAACTTATAAATAGATTAATTTATAAATAAATAATTTTTGGCAAACATTCTTTTTATTGTCAATATTAAATCTAGATCAAATTATTTATTTTGATCATAATATCTATTTTATGGTTAAAAGGAGTATTTTTTTTTTTTTATATGTAATAAATGAAAACATGCATTGAAATAAAAAAAAAATTTACTTTTAAATTTAACAAAATTTGTAGTGTAAAGAACTATTAAAATAAGTAATTTACTTTTAGATTTGATCGATACAAATTATCTATAATTAAAATATTTAGAGCATGTTTGAGCCCTTTTTTTGCTTAAAAATGCATTTTTGAATAGTAGATTGATAAAAAATGTGTGGTTAAAAGTAATGAAAAATTTTGAATTTGTATATGATATTATTTTATTGAAAAATATGTAATTAAAAAGAAGATATAAAAAAATGTATTTAAAAAAATATGGATCAACAAGGGTTTAATTTGAGAATAAGACACACGTTTCATGAATGTTGTGAAAACTATATTTAATAATTAAGCATTGGTCTTGAATTGAAACTCAAAATAGAGCAGGCTGATACTAATATTTGGACTAAAATTATCCATTTTCTTCTTAGGTTTTTATATGGGCTGGTAGTGCTGGCTATACCCCCACTATATTCGCCCCGACTAAATGTTAATTTTCTAACGTATTTTGAATTGGATCAAAATAAATAACATATAAAGCGCGCATTTGATCTCATTATTCCATATTATAATGAGAAGAATAATATTTTTTTGAAAAATATATAGTTAAAAAATGTTAATTTTTTTTTTTTTAATTTACATGTAATATTTTTTTGTTGGAGGATGTGTAATTAATAAGAAAAGTGAGAAAAATGAATTACAATTTAATGGGAGCCAAACGGGGGCAAAATCTTGAATATGAATTATAACTAAGAGCGTGTCTGACCCCAATTATTTCACAGATTTTGATTGAAAATTCAACCGTTGCTTTGTCCTTCAGCCACAACAATTGACCAGATGTGAGAGATGTGGGGGCCACCAATTGAAAAAAAACGATAATATATATGCTTAAGATTTGATGAAAATAGCCAACAGACACACTCTAAATCTTTCTAAGGAGAATTGCAACTATGATCCCCAAACTTTTTCATTTTTTAAGACCTCACTTAAAGTTTTAGCTTGTGCCACTCCCAATTCCATACTTTTGAAATAGTTAGCACTAGCAGGATAAATCTATGTTTGAGCTACATTAAAATTTTCATTCTCATTATTCTACTCATTTTCAACCACACATTTTTCAATAAAATAATATTTTTCATCACATTAATAATTTTTCCTTCTTTTTCACCCACCTCCTTTTTCCCACTCCCCATCCAACTTATTCCAACCCTTTACTAGCACTGCCTTCATCTCAAACTAAAGTACCACAAACCCATCTTTATTCTTATCATGGACAAGGCTATTTGTAGTGGAAATATAGTAGACAAATGTCTACGACGATGCTAGGAAGAGAGAGTTCACTCGAATGACCCACCATTATTACTGGAACAAAAAAGAGTGATAGAGACACTGTCATCATGGGTCTTGCTAATAACCCAGAGCATATTTGACTAAATTTAAAATCCAATTAAAATTGAAAATATAGTCATTATTGGTTTCACTCGTCTAATAAAAGTCAACAATAACGGCTAATTTTTCGATTTTAATCTCTACCTAACACGCTCCTAGTCTCTTTATCTATTCCCATGTCAATACACTCCATCTCACATAAATTTGAATCGAACCATTCAAACAATCAAGCAATCGGCCTAAATGAACCAAACGCAATACTATTTCCAACCTCTCAAGCACACTCGACAGATCTTTGACCTCTAAACCCCTTCATCCACCAAGTGAACTAGGCATGTTTATGCTCTTATTTAAGTCTTGTATACTTGCAGCATCACCGAATTGCGAGTTCCCATTAGTGACCAAGAACGAAAAAAAGGCCACCAAAATTAATTTTGACACCATAGAAAAAGAACATGTAGAATTTAAAATGTAGTGAACAAATGATTATAACAACTATAATGTGGAAACATAAACTATCAAAATGTAAAACTGAACTAATCGATCCAAAGCTTCTTCAACACCACTAATGTAGTGTCATATGGCGTTGAACTCAGATTTGTGCCACACCGAATCATGTACCGTCGTCCACGGGAATGTCAATAGATATACCAAGAAATGAATCCACTGGAAGCCACCAAGAATTTTGTCGGAGATATGAACTTCTCCCATTTGGTTAGCACCCCATGCTTTCTCTCTTTTGCTATGCCAATTGCCAAGTCCAAAAATGAAACAAGTGAAGAAGTCTTGTAATTATAGAACCAAAGAACCATTTGAATTCAAATTCAAATATTATACTATAAAAGAGACATGACTAGTAGGGTAATTGACCACAAGATTAAATCTAACAATTAGATTTAATATTTGGTCTATAATATACATCAACTTGTACAATCATTTCAAAGTGCTGAAGACAAATACTTATATGCCAACTCTCAAAATTTAGCAAACGAAAACAACAATGCATTATATGCTTTTGTGTCTCATGCCTTAGAGTATATCACTTTGTTCAGTCTCCATTATTTTCAAAATACGTTTTTTCTTTTATTTTCAACACACATTATACAATAAAATAATATGACACGTAGATCCAAAAATTTTCTTATTTTTGACTACAAATTTTCCATCAAATCACTATTCCAAAATTCATTTTTTTTTGAAAAAATGGGACTCAAGCATGCTCAATATAAAATTCGTATGGCTGACACCTCCGACTATTACGGTCTAATTTCAAATGTTTCCCAACAAGAAAACTGCTTGAAAACTAACGCGACATGGCAAA